GACACAAAAATGAAACAATGTGACGAGCCAATCGCTATAATTACAGTATTGTAAACTTGTGCATATTTGCTCAGGGCAGTAACAATGCCCTTCCGTGGCCGCTCTGGGTGCTGACGGGTGGCGGTGGGGGGGGCGCCGAATTTGAGAGCTGCGCGCACGCAGCTGCCGCCTGTCGACGTTCATCACCATGGCGCGAGTTATTGCCGCGGTGCGCGCACCTCGCAGCCGACAATGAGCACCTCGCGTTATGCCCCGCGGCCGGATCGGGTTACGGCAAACACCGCCGCGGCATTGTGCGGGCGGCCGAGACGCGCGCGCGGTTTTGGGGAGGGGGGGAGGTGGGGGGTGGGGTGTTGCTCGCCGCGAAAGAAACGACGTCCAAATATAATAAACGTGCCGTGGGGCGAGCACGCGGCGACGACGACGCCGCCCCCGCCGCTCCGAGCGCGAGGCGTCTTCCGCGGTGGAACAGTCGGAGCGCACGCGCTCGCTCTCCGGATATCGGGACGACGTTTTGTTTTTAGCGTCTGGCGTGGTTGCCGGTCGCGGCGGAGGCCGTGGTGGCGGCGTCGACGTTGACAGAGGCAGGGCCGAGACGAATACTTTGTTCAGTAAATTTTGACTCGTCGATGGAATATTGCCCATGAAAGCCATGCAAAAGTTCAAGGTAAGAATTGTCCGTGTCGTGCCGGTTGGTTCGTTTCAACTTGTCATTTTTTGTCGGTGATCTCGGTGGGAAGTGCCTTTGTCGGCGATTTAGCCCGAGCGGAAACACACGAATCCTCCCCTGCAAAGGGGGCTTCCTTACCCCATCAGGAGGACACGAAAAGCATGACTAGATGATCTGGCTGGATGATGACGAGGTTGTTTAATCACAATGTAACCTCGTGCTCTTTGATGCGAACGACGTATGTTCGTGATTCCGGTCTGTGCTGCCAGCTTCATTAATGGGTTTTTATTTTATTTTGAAAATTAAGGTGACACTTTCGCCCTCTGATTCAGGGGACCTGTGTTTGTCTCAACATGTGCGTGGCCTAGAACTTTATTTGCGGTGTTTTTTGGGTGATGCAAATGTGGAGCAACTCGATTTGGCTGTGAACACGGTGTAGCAAGGCTGGGAAAAAAAGAACAAAATATAGGGGCAAAGGTCGACACCCAAGACGAATGACATCCAGCAAAATATGACACTAAAATTATTAACGCGCGGTGTTAGCTATGTTTTCACGAAGCGTTGAGCTCAGATATCAGTCGTTGTCAAATAAACCCATAATCACTCAGCAGGAGTCGATAAATGTTTTAAACGTCTGAGGTGTCCGTGTGGCTCGGAGGTCAGAGTACTGAACTGTGGTACCGTTGACATCCTGAGTTAGACTCCGGGGAGACGCGCGTGAATAAAACAGCCGGGTTCTCGAGTGCAGCGAGTAGATGGCCTCAGCCCTGTCACAGAGGGCCGCACTAAAAACAGCCCACGTTCTATTAAATTTGGGTTTGAGCTTAATTTGGTTAAATCCCAACTGAACTTGTTCAGTCATTTCAAACATTTTAAAATAGTCTGCCTCAGCAGCAGAGCACGCTTTCCCACCTGATGATGGACGCTTGTGTTGCGCCCGAAACGTCGTGAATTATTTTATTTTCTACCTACGTGACTTTACCGAAATAACCAAAGAGTATGGATTCCGGCAGTCACGAAAACTTCAAATCAAGATTTAAAAAATGATTTGACATTCAGACTAGTTTTACAGTCGGGTAATAAACAACCTCTTGGCCTTTCGCGATTCCTTCGTACCCTCTGTCACGGTCACTAAAGCCTTGCAGGCGCCTGCTATCTACATCATTCTATTCTGTCACCGTCTTTTAAACTACGTTAAGCGCCTTCAGTGAAGGCGCTTTATAAATATGAAATTAGATGAGGTTCATTAACTATGTTGTGTGAAGTCAGTCGTGTCTGTTGTAAAAAAAGACACCTGCCCCAGGAATTATTCCTGCCACTGGCTTAGGGTGACCAACGTCAAACCTCCAATGAGCACGGTTGGCCACGTACATTGTGAACTAAGTTCATTATAAATCTATACAACACAGACGATCGCCGCCCTATCGCGTGTGTGGGCTGGAGAGTCCCTGAGATGTAGAACACAACGTGGGTACTGCAGTGGCAAACAAGAGCAGGTGCTAACCCCCCCCCCCCCACCCGTGTGGGCTCAGCCTTGCCGCTCCTCTTACTCCACTCCTGTCCTGGGCCATCATCTCCACATCCACTCCCCATCGCACCTTCAATTCCTGGGTCACCGCCTGGGTCACCGCCATCTCTTTGAGAGGCCGGCCTCTTGACCGCCACGCAGGTGCTTCAGCATCCGACCTGCGAAGGCCCTTGGGAGCTGCCCGCCGAGCTAGGGCCCGCCGAAGGATCACGGCTCGCCGAGAGACAAAGAGAAGCAGTTTCGTGACTTGAAAGTTAGATCAATTAGAGGGAGATCAAAGGCCATGAAGGGACGTGATGACATCGCAGCACCGTGGTGTGAGGTCGTACCCTCTGCGTGTTTGGCGCGTGCTTGCGGGCCACTTATTAACGTCACGCGCCAGCTTCATTAATGTGGCCCCACCGGATAGCGTTAGCTGACGGTATTTGTTTGGCGAATCGAAAAAATACTTTTGTGGCTCAAGCGTCTGGTGGCCACCAACGTAGGCCACCAGACGCTTGGTGAATCGCCAACCGTCTGGTGGCCTTGCGTGGTGGCCTGGAGACGGCAGCACAGGGAATGTTAATGCCCTTCGCCGTTGAGATTTTACGTTAATGATTTATTTATATTGACCTTTGTGCATACATGAAAGCATCCTTGTTTTTAGGAGGGCCTTGCAATTTGCGATGTTTGGTTTAACTCCACTGTTGTGTCGCGTGGAAGGAAATGGCATAAGATCAGTATAGACTGATTAAAGTATACATTTTCTCAAAGGCTATCTCAAGAACCACCCACCACCTGGCACCATCGGGTCTATCTACTAAATTATCATAAAGAGAATACATTTAGGGAACAGGGAGGCTTTTATACATTTACGCTGCCGCGTCGTGCCGTGTGAACCAGGGGCTTTCTTCCAAATCAGAATTATAGTTCACTGCCCTGGAAAGGCCTTTGTGCCTTTTTAACTTTTAAGTGTCCATTCCAGCCTTGCATGGCAAGCTGCGTGAATTATGCATGAGCCCACGACTCTTAACCAGAGTTTGGTTTCTACTGCCTCCGTTGCGTCGCCCCCACCGAGAATCGTCATTCAAACGCGACAGCTCCTTAATCGTCACCCTGATTGGCGACGATTCATCGAACCTCGAGAGAGAGACGGAGAGGCGATCGCTACAGCCTGAACTATAACTGTATTTGTGGGTACTTCATCACAGACAGCATTTAATGAACGCGGAAGAGTCGTGCCACTGCAATGAACCCGCTTATTCGTTCAGACAAGGAATTATTTTACTTTGTCAGCTTTCCAGGGCACGCCCTTCACTGCCCTGTCTACCCTAAGCCCTTAAACAGGGCATTGCTATGTTAAACGTTTAATGTTGGAGGAAGAGTTTCATGAATATCTGGCAGTCCGTTCGTATCCTGTGCCATCGGCCATCCAAGATGAGGTTTTAATAAATCTCAGTTACAATTCCTGCGTGTGGCAATGGCCTATGCCTGTACATTATCTACAAGAAACACGCACGCGTTTATTTTGTCTTAAGCTTTCAAATAAAACTGCGCGCAGGACGTTCCTCGCTTATGAACTCAAACTACCATGTCCAGGAGGAACAATTATGTTTACGGCGAGTTACGCCAGGCACGGACGTCACAACACCTGCACTTGCAGATAAACTAAGCAACAAACAGTAGAAGGGACTCGTGGGTTGGCGAGGCGAGGGCGAGCACGTGGTGTTGACTCTGCGCAACGCGACACGTCGTCCGGAACACGAGCAGAAAGGCTCGGGAGCTTTGTGTTCACCGCCGCTGACGTAAAGAGCGCGGCACGACGGGGTTGCAGCAGCCACGCGGCGGCGATGTTCGCCAGGTTGGGCCCTGTGCCCCACGCGTGCCCCCATTAACCCCCCCCCCCCCATCGTACCCATTAGAGTAATACGCTGGTGGACGGTTGGCTTACTCGGTAGACGGGTACGGTGTGGGGCGGGGGGGGGGAGGGCGGGAAGGGGCCACTCCGTGAGTTGTACGTACGTATGTTGAACTTCTTTCGCGCCGTACGTAGCCAAACGTCGTGCTGCGGGTGAAGGACAGCAAAGTTCCCAGAACACCCAAATTGGGTGCGCGGCAGCAGGACATTATTCCACATGACTGGGAATGGCGTTCGTTCCACTTTGTGCAGTGGTTTACTCGGAACAACACCGGACACAGATTCACGGCGGGCTGGGTTGAGCAGCAAGGTGAATATGGCGTCGTCGGATAGGTGACTGGACCGGGACCGTTGACCCGTACATTCACGGGCATCCTTTTACACGGAGCGGTAACTCAGAACGGGAACACAAGAGCTCAGCGGTGCAGGCTGAGATGTTTCTGACGCGCACTCCAGCCCTCTGAGAGACAGCCCAGCCACGCAGGGATTGTGAACCCAACATCTCAAAGGGCTTGACTCAATGCCCTTACATTGTCATCAGCTGTCCAAGAGACAACCAGTGCCAGGCCTTGAACCCATGACTTAGGTTCGGACTCTGCATTGACATGAGCATCAGCTTTCATAGTGATAGACCCAGGATCTGACCCACACATCATCCTTCTCCGAGACGACATCCAGCCGCCCGGTCACGCTGAGCGTCTGTTTGAACGTAACGTCCCTCGTGTGTCCACGTGCGTCGCCATCTCTCTCCGCTCTCTCTGCGCCCGTGTGACTCACTCCACTCTCTCTGCCCCCTGTGACTCACTCCACTCTCTCTGCCCCCTGTGACTCACTCCACTCTCTCTGCCCCCTGTGACTCACTCCGCTCTCTCCGCCCCCGTGTGTCTCCGCGCCTCTCCGGGCAGGTGTCTGCGGAGGAGCTGTCGCAGGCTCGGCTCAGGAGGGTGGACTCGAGCCGCAAGACGCGCACCTTCGGGAAGCAGCCAAGCACCAGCGACTACTACAAGTCGTTCAGCACGGAGCGCGACGAGCCGCTCAACACCAGCGGCAGTCACATGGAGCCGGAGCCGACGCCGGTGCTCAACGGAGAGGTAGACGCCGCGCACGCGCCGGCTCGCCGCTTCGCTCTGCTCCGCCTGGGAAATTCACGCCTTTGTTTTTGCAAAATAATTTTCGCGAGCGCTCCCGTGAAAGGATCTGAGCCGTTCTCCAACGCTTTCGTAAAAAGTTGCGTACAGATCTTTTGTCGGTTCATTGCCGAATGAAAGCCGTCTTTGGGACGTGGGAATTTGTTTGACCGTACTTCGCCACGCTGGTCACTGTGGATTGGTGACCGGGATGGCTCGGGATGGCTCGGGATGGGTTCGGATATCACTCGCAGCTCACGTTAACTGTGGGTGGGAATCGATCTCGGGTCGCCAAGTCCGTAGTGCGGTGCGCTAACCGCTACATCGCTGCTCCACCCCAAGAGAAGTTCACCGGTTATCTATTCGGATTGCGGGGGGTTACTTGACCATACGTCACCACGCTGGTCAGCGCGGGTCGGTGAATGCGGGGAGCGCGGACGTGCAAGCGCAGGAGTAAGAGCCCAACAGCTGATCTTTTGTTTTTCCCCACCGAGAGAGGGAGGGGAGAGGCCAGCAGGGCGAGCCGATGAAGGAGCTTGGGAACCACCCACGAGTGGCACCTTGAAACCGACGCGGGATTGGATCGGGAGCCAGCGGATGGATCGGAGCGTTGGGGAGAAGCCGCCTCGATTAGGGGTGCGGGCGAGGAGCCTGGCAGTGGCATTCTGGGACCTTTATGGAGTTTGTAAGCCGATGGATTTGCGGAGGCCGCAGGGACAAACGCCGCGACGGTCGCGCGAGGGTGTGGAGAAGGCACGAATTAAGCAGTCCGAGGCAAGGAAAAAGCGGAAAGCCGTACATTGGAATGTCCTGGCAGTGGCTACCAAGGAGGACAACCGCTCCTCCTGTGTGCTGTATGCTGAATTTCGAGGTAGGCTTGTTGAGAAGTCTAACAAGTGCTGCATGACTCATCCGTGCACCCAGTTACCCGGGCACAAGTCAGGCCCGTATTACCAACTTAGCGTTGCGTTCAAAGAGCCAGCTTCCACTCTGGCGGATGTCCCCTTTAAAATGAGCGGACGTGCTTCCTGACTCGCATGCAGGCCTAGACCTTGAAACGGTAAACAGGCGCCCCCTGAAGAGAGGCCAATATTGATTGAGGGCGGGCGAGAGGGCGGGCGAGCGCAGCAATGATCACAGGCGCTTTGACTGCCGGGCGTGATGGAGCCACCTGCTTCTCGAGCCCTCTCGTTGCGCTGTTTGTGACAACGCTGTTGCCACACTTCTGCCGCCAAGGCAAGGGGCAGGGGCAAGGGAAAGGGCAGGGCCGGCGGCATAGGCAAGGGCAGGGGGGCATGGGCAGGGCCGAGCTGCTTCTCGGGCGCGCGGTGTACGAGCGACGCCCCGTCGCGTGAGCTCGTGAATGATGGTGACTCGCGCTCGCCATCCCCGCGCGGCGTGAAAGGCGTTCGCGTCGTGACCTCTTAAATCTCGGCCCGCTGAACGGCGGTGGCGGGCGGAGAGAAGTGCTGACGGCGATAGTGGTGGTGGCGGTGGTGGCGGCGGCGGCGATGATAAATCAGATTTATTATCGGCGAGCTCCTTGTTAAAGCAGCACCGAGTCACCTTAGGACGCCCGCGTGTCCCCCCCCCCCACGTTTGCACTCTCTGCATCCACCACGCTCAGCTCCTATCATTTAATTCGGGCGCCACGTTCATTTACCAGCCACACGCGCTCTGTGTGAACAGAGCCCAGCTTGTTTTATTTACGTCTGGCGGAGCCACGCTCTGAGGCCTGGCTTCAAACCTCACACATCAGTCTACGCGACCTCTGTAAGTCTATGGGCTTCGTGGTGGCACCTATGTCAGTAAAAATGTCCCAATGGTTGTTTGTGGTTAATAGGTAATCTTGTGGGGTCTAATGTTGGCCCGTGGGTGCTATCTTAGTCTTGATTTTCATATAAATGTCAGGGTTTGTTTGATACGCATTGGCTACCAATGTGGAGCTGCTCATTTGTCGATTACAAACTGTTAATTTGTCAGCTTCATTGAAATGTATCGGTATTATACAATTTCTATCTCAAACTACAAGTCAATCCATCCCTCTGCTGCCACGTCCCTGTGCCCCTACAAAGGGCCTTTGCCCAAGACGTCAGCCGAGGCCTGTCATGATGACTCATCTCGATAGCCGTTCGATGGATTGTCACCGTTCGGGTCGACGATTCAACCTAGGATTATTATTATGTTCCACATCTGTACTGTCTGGTTTGCATTGTTTATAAAAAAATAAATCCTCTCATTTTTGCAGATTTCTTTACTCCATCCTTATTTTACATTTGTGGTGCCGTGCCACACTTCTTCTGTTCTAGGGAAACAAACCATCCCAATATTTTGTCCAGACATCAATACCACCTCCTTAATTTGTCCACTGCACTGCCGGGCAGCTCACTTCTTTATTTTCCCTTGCACTGCTCCACTTTGGAACTCCCTACTCCAATCATCGCCTTTCCTGAGCTCTTATAACTTTGCTCAATTAAAAAAACCTGTAAACTCTTTTAGAACTTTGACACATCCCAAGCGTTGACGTTTTGGGCCCTTGGGCCTGTTCCCAGCGACCGCGTTTCGAACAAAGTTGCTCACTCCGTCTCCTTCTAACGTTGCCCGCCCTCAAACTCTCCGGTCACACACGGGTTCGCCGCCCGTCGCCCCACAAGCTAACCTGCTCAGGACGTGAGCGATCCATATTGGCTCCCGCGATTCGACGCACGTGCATCGCCCGCGTAGGGATCGATCGCGGTCCCCGCGCCCGTTCCGTTGCCGTGCCGCGCGGTGAAACCCCGCGGCGGCGACGGCGTCTCTCTCCCTCTCTCCTCGCCCTCCCTCTCCGCCAGGACCACTCGGGCGAGGCGGAGACGCCCGATTCGGAGATGCCGGAGCCGCCGTCGTCGCCGGTGCCGGACCTCCTCCCCGGCGAGGACGCGGAGGGCCCCCCGGCGCCGCCGCCCCCGCCGCCCGCGCCGCCCGCGCCTCCGCCCCCGCCGCCGCTGCCCCTCCCCGGCGAGCTGTCGCGGTACAGCGACGGCGACCACTCGCGGCCGCCCTCCGCCGCCTCCAGTGAGTGGCGGCAGCGGCGACCCCCACGTGGTGCCCCCGTCTGCTGCTTTGTTGCGTTAGGCGAGCGCTTGTTGGGTTGAAACGGTTTTGGGTGCTGTGCGGGCGGTCAGCTGGCTCGGCACCGCTGGGATCCTGCTCTCGAATCCGCCCTGGGATCTTAACCGGGTTCCCATAAACCTGCGTAGAGAACCACGTAGAGAGCGCTTGCATCGAGACCCATTCGCCGCACGCTCAAATTGTAATAATCGGCGTGTTAAACGCTTCTACACGTGACAATTACATTCACTGGGCTATGTTGGGTGGTGGAGGGTCTTGACAACACAAAATAGGTCAGATCATTAAATTGGTGTCAAATGAATTCTATGATGAATCACCGATAACACTCTTGCAATACAATTCCAAGAAAATAAATACCAGCAGAGGGAATCCGGAAACTCGGCGGTCGCCATCCAACGGCTGTGAAAAGCTCTCTCCGACCTTGCCGGAGAAGGACATTGCGTGACTGAGACGTGGCCCAACGTTTCAGGCCAGGTCGTTTTTCAGCCGATCTGCTTTTTCCACGACCGAACCTCGCAAGGGGCTCCCTCTGTCACCTGGCGAAACGGAGTAAACACCGCGTTGTGATTGACGTGAGACCACGCCACGCGGTCGGAAGTCTCGTGCGTCTGTCGGCGGTGTCTTCTTGCGTCTGTAAGTCTCGTTTTGTAGCATCACTGGAGCTGTCGGTGACCTTTTGCGTGCACAGTGAGACAAGTGGATCGGTGGCACAGCGGCTCTTTGAAACCCTCAACCTGAGTTCGATTCCCCGGCCGCAGCTCGCACTGGGGGCGAGCGACATCCAAACCAATATAATAAAGCATCTCCGGAGATAAACCACGCGTCCCCATGAGTGATATAATAAAGCATCTTCGGAGATAAAGCACGCGAGGGCACGTGTGGCGAGGGCACGTGCCCCAGTCCCCCCGCCCCACCCACTGGCGTGCGTGTTTTGATTCTCTCTGTAATGAAACCTCGCGCATTAACAATGCATGCAGGCCAGCCCCGTCGCGTCCGCTCAATAATTCATTGCTCCCCCAAGAATATTTAGCGGCGTTTAGAATCCCGTTTCCAGCATCGACTCCGTAATAACGTGATCAAGACAAATTTGCACTCGCGCCCGGACAAATTATCGTGCCGTAGGTCTCTTAATAAGCGTTATGAAGAACAATGAGGAATATCGGCACTTTGTAGGTGACATCACCGCCACTTAGTGATGATTTGCAGTTATTATTGTTGTTGGAGTAGCAGTGCATCGGTTTTCGCACCGCTCTACAAACCTTGCGACCTTACGTCGATCGGACCTTAAATGAGTACCTCGTGCGGTGTGTACAACATCAGCCTTGGGTAGACACCAACGGCCGGGCGTGACGTTGACTACCCATGCGTGCCCTGCCGGCCTTCGTAGGTGCTACTCGCAAGCAGCACTTGCCGCAACACTCTCTGTTGCCTCGCCCCACAGAATGAGTCGTAGCTACTTTCACTGATTGAAGTATAAAATTCACATCTTTTATATCCCGAGCGCCCGTAAGGGAGTGCTTGAGCGTGTGAGAGGACGTGGCTACACTTGCTATCGACGCTCGCAAATGCCCCAACGGTCTGCGATCCTAACGTGATGACCTTGCTCCTGCTGTGCGTCCGAGTGCGTTTCGTGCGTCCTCCTCTGCGCGTGTTGGACACAGAGAAGACGCTGCGGCATTCGCTCCGTGAGCCTCTTCATCCCTTCCCCGCCTCGCCGTGCCGCTCCGTCCCTCCTCGTCGATCCGTCCACCTCGCGAAATCCGCCGCCCGCTCCACGCCCGGGCTCCTGTTTCCCCGGCTTCGTTTCCCTCGCTCATCCTTTGGCGCTAATCATTTTTTAATCGCGTTGCTGCCGACGGCACGTCCTATTGTTCCTTCGAACGACGCCGCCGCCTCTCCCCCTGTATCCCTCTCCCCCGTCCGTCCTTCTCACCGGCTCGCCCGCCCGCCCGCCCACCGCCGCCGCCGCCTCCGTGCCGATCCGGCCTCGCTCGCCACCACCCCCATCCCCAGACAGATTTGTCGTGCCGCGCACGCTCCGCTCTCACCGTTGTTATTTTTATCTTCACCTTTTTCCCTTGTGCGCGCACGCCCGCCCGTCGCCCGTAAATGTGGGCGCACGGCGGCTTGTGACGGTTCATCCCCTGTTGGACGAGCGAGGGATGAGAAGTAAGTCGAACGCATCCGCCGCGGCGTGGGGGCTTGCGCCGTGCGGCGCTCGCGAGGGGTCCCAGGGGCTCCCGTGGCTCCTGGCGGCTCCCACGGTTGACGCGGCGCCCGTGGCCCGCCGTGCCGCGGCTTCCTTGTGTCGGAGCTGTTGATGGGTTCGGATGTCACCAGAACGTGGCTATGAATGTGGTGCGGCGCCATGCGCCGTAGATTCGCGTCGCGGCCTCTTAATGCGCCTGTTGTCTCCAGACGATGCACGGAAACTGTGGGGATGTTTGTGTTATAGAGCGGGGCGGTGGATCACGGGCCCCTACGTGAGTCTGTAGACATCTCAATGTGAGTCTGTGAGTCTCTACGTGAGTTTGTAGACGTCTCAATGTGAGTCTGTGAGTCTCTACGTGAGTCTGTAGACGTCTCAGTGTGAGTCTGTGGGTCTCTACGTGAGTCTGTAGACGTCTCAATGTGAGTCTGTGGTTCTCTACGTGAGTCTGTAGACGTCTCAATGTGAGTCTGTGAGTCTCTACGTGAGTCTGTAGACGTCTCAATGTGAGTCTGTGGTTCTCTACGTGAGACTGTAGAAGTCTCAATGTGAGTCTGTGGGTCTCTACGTGAGTCTGTAGACGTCTCAATGTGAGTCTGGGAGTCTCTACGTGAGTCTGTAGACGTCTCACTGTGAGTCTCTACGTGAGTCTGTAGACGTCGCAATGTGAGTCTGTGGGTCTCTACGTGAGTCTATAGACGTCTCAATGTGAGTATGTAGACGTCTCAATGTGAGTCTGTAGACGTCTCAATGTGAGTCTGTGGGTCTCTACGTGAGTCTGTAGACGTCTCAATGTGAGTCTGTGGGTCTCTACGTGAGTCTGTAGACGTCTCAATGTGAGTCTGTGAGTCTCTACGTGAGTCTGTAGACGTCTCAAGGTGAGTCTGTGAGTCTCTACGTGAGTCTGTAGACGTCTCAGTGTGAGTCTGTGGTTCTCTACGTGAGTCTGTAGACGTCTCGATGTGAGTCTGTGGGTCTCTACGTGAGTCTGTATACGTCTCAATGTGAGTCTGTGGGTCTCTACGTGAGTCTGTAGACGTCTCAATGTGAGTCTGTGGTTCTCTACGTGAGTCTGTAGACGTCTCTACGTGAGTCTGTGGGTCTCTACATGAGTCTGTAGACGTCTCAATGTGAGTCTGTAGACGTCTCAATGTGAGTCTGTAGACGTCTCAATGTGAGTCTGTGAGTCTCTACGTGAGTCTGTAGACGTCTCAATGTGAGTCTGTGGTTCTCTACGTGAGTCTGTAGACGTCTCAATGTGAGTCTGTGAGTCTCTACGTGAGTCTGTAGACGTCTCAATGTGAGTCTGTAGTTCTCTACATGAGTCTGTAGGCGTCTCAATGTGAGTCTGTGGGCCTCTACGTGAGTATGTAGACGTCTCTACGTGAGTCTGTGGGTCTCTACGTGAGTCTGTAGACGTCTCAATGTGAGTCTGTGGTTCTCTACGTGAGTCTGTAGACGTCTCAATGTGAGTCTGTGAGTCTCTACGTGAGTCTGTAGACGTCTCAATGTGAGTCTGTGGTTCTCTACGTGAGTCTGTAGACGTCTCAATGTGAGTCTGTGAGTCTCTACGTGAGTCTGTAGACGTCTCAATGTGAGTCTGTGGGCCTCTACGTGAGTCTGTAGACAGGGTGTCTACAGCACTCATGGCTGGGGAAGGGAGTTTCAAACTTGTGGACAGCAGAGGGGAATGGTGATTAATTGTTCATTGTACAAATTAACGCGTTCTTTTAATATGATTTCTCTTAAAATGTTTGCTTGACCTTGGATACATGTATGGCTTATTGGGCTGTCACCTTCAATGTAGTTAATCTGTATTAATACCAGATGAGCGAACCATGTTACGTGCCGCATTGCACGGCCAAGACAACGACTTTCTCTTGCACCTCTACGCAAAAGGACAACGTGACAGTCGCCATAAGAATCAAACCCAGTGCACAGTGGCACACACACCTACCTTTGAGGATGGTGCCACATAACTACAAGAAACACCCTCTTCAGAAAGCGCATGTAGTTAATTAACGACATTAGATTAAAGTGGGTGCCTGCACAATTTTCAGTTGTTCTCACAACCATAATTATGAAACACGTCGGGGTTTTTCTCCACCCCCCCCCCCCCCCAGAGTGAGGCTTTGCTTTGTGCCCCACGGCATTACGCTCGGGGCTGCCACCACTGCCACCACCACCGCCACCAACACCGCCGTGAACACCACCACCGCTACCGCCACCACCACCACCACTGCCACTGCGTGCAGACTTAAGTCATCAATGGCCCACTTGAGCGATGGATTGCGCGCAGCCTAAGCCCCTAAACAGGATTTGGTTGTATTTCTTGTGACAGTGTTTAAGTCGTTACCGGCACACAGGAGCCAGCGGTGGCTCTTTCTCGCCCAGCACTCCCCTCTTGTTGACAGGCGCCCGCCAAGCTCGCGCTCGAGGCCGAGTGAAGTTCTTTACGCCGCTCGGAGTGCCTCCGCAGCTCCCGACAGCTGGCACCGAGAGAATTAAATGAGGAACTTCCGAGGGATTTTAAGTACGAGGGTTTTCTTTCATCGGAGGCTGCTTTTCGGGCGGTACATTTCGCTTCGACGGCGAAGTTCGCAACTAGGTGCTCTTCGCTGAGTCGATACACACACACACACGTGGGATTTATAGTGCGGCCACCTACGTTGCAACGCCGACAGGTGAAGGATATTTTAAAACTCGTGGAGCATTTCTCTCCCGTCTCGCTGGCACGATGGAACCGCGGGCAGGAAACCACGCGCGTCACCATTGAAGGTGGAACGATTGGTGGCGTAACAATTAAAGCAAATGCACGCTGTTTGTCTGCGCACGTGTGTGCATACGCGGGGAGCGGTAGTGTAGCGGTTAGCGCGCTGCGCTATGAACCTGGCGACCCGGGTTCGATTCCCGCTCACGGCCAACACCAGTGACGATTATCTGAACCGGTCCCGGGCCTCTCCTAGGTCGACTCAGCCTCAAATGAGTACCTGGTGCGGTGTGTAACATCGTCACTAGGGAGACAAAGGCGGTCGGGCGTGGTGCTGGCCACCCACCCCCTCGTGTACCGTTCCGGCCTTCATAGGTGCTCGCTAACAGCACTTGCCCCTACAGTCTGTTAAGGCTACACGGGGGATCTTTGTCTTTGTGCATACGCGATGACATTGTGAATAAATATACAATCAATTTGAGGAATTGCCCGTTATTGAGTCGCACGGTTGGCTATGTAGGGTACCAAAGAAGTTCGACATACGAACATTACCACCAACACTACATGGGTAATTCCTCAAATGTATTTTTAAAAAGAGAAATTTGACCCCGCATCCAGTACCCACAGCTCCTGTTCACAAACTTCACACCTTGCAGTCGGAGTATGTAAAACCATACGCTCGGCCTGTCATTGTTATTAAACGTGCGATAGCGACAGCAGGTGATCCTCCTTTCTTAGCCGTCGGGAGATAAACGCTGGAGGTAACCTGACAGCTGCAGACCAATGTGTCGCAACACACACGCACCGTGGATCTGCTTTCGGCCTCTATATTCTTTGTAAAAAAACTTTCACCACGCAATTGCTCTTGAACAAAAAAAAAACGAATAAAAGCGCTTCACAGCAGCGCCGCGGTTTTTTGAGGCCGGCAGGGGAGCGACGCTGAAGTGCTGTTAACGTGGAGAGCGCTCACCCAAGTGGCCAAGTCCACTTGATGCGCACTTAATCCGATTAGCGCGCTCGCACGGCCCCTCCGGCCCACCCGCCCGCCCGCCCGCCCGCCCGCCCTCCCGCCCGCCAGCTCCCCGGCCTCTTCTTCGCCGCAAATGCCTCCTCGGTGAAGGTGCGTCCTCTCCTCGCACCCCTCGCCGCCCCAACCCCTCGCTATCCCCAACGCTGCCGTGCGTCGTCGTCTTCGCCGTTCGTTCCACGACGGGATCAGCGGCGGCGGAGGTGTTTTTTGTTGTTGTTGTTGTTGAGTCGGTGGATTTTTAGTTCCTGTGGTTTTTACCGCGCGGGCGTTCTTACTGCTACTGTGCCGTACGGCTCACCTCCCCCCCCCACGCCCTTTTATTTGGGGGGGGGGGGTGGCAAGTGCCACGCATTGTTCAGCACCGTTGTCCGACGTTTCGCTCCGCGAGCCAGCTCTAAGTTGTCGCGTCGGACAGTCGCGGTCGTTGTGCCGGCTTCCCCCGTGTGGAGCTGTCGGGTTCCGTTTCTGCGGAGGGACGCCACTTATAGTTTTGTTGGCGCGTAGCGTTTGCGTTTTAAAGCTAAAACTCAGCTGTTTTAAAACAAAAACGCAGCTGTTTTAAAGCTAAAACTCAGCTGTTTTAAAACTAAAACTCAGCTCTTTTAAAACTAAAACCCAGCTGTTTTAAAACTAAAACGCAGCTGTTTTAAAACTATAACTCAGCTGTTTTAAAGCTAAAACTCCGTTGTTTTAAAACTCAGCTGTTTTAAAGCTAAAACTCAGCTGTTTTAAAACTGAAACTCAGCTGTTTTACAACTAAAACTCAGCTGTTTTAAAGCTAAAACTCAGCTGTTTTAAAAATAAAACTCAGCTGTTTTAAAACTAAAACTCAGCTGTTTTAAAGCTTAAACTCAGCTGTTTTATAACTGAAACTCAGCGATTTTAAAACTAAAACTCAGCTATTTTAAAACTAAACCTCAACTGTTTTAAATCTAAAACTCAGCTGTTTTAAAACTGAAACGCAGCTGTTTTAAAACTGAAACTCAGCTGTTTTAAAACTGAAACTCAGCTGTTTTAAAACTAAAACTCAGCTGTTTTAAAACTAAAACTCAGCTGTTTTAAAACTCAGCTGTTTTAAAGCTAAAACTCAGCTGTTTTAAAACTAAATCTCATCTGTTTATTTACGAGAGAAAGCCGATTGAGCTGGTGGCTCTTGTTTTTCATCGGCAACCTGGCAACACATACTAGCTCATGGAAGTGGATTATATCATCGTCGTCGTCGTCATCACATGCAGGAGGAGTTCATAGCAGCGTGTTCATTTGATTCACGCGACCGCCACGGGGATAGCGAGAGAACACCCGCGGTCTCCAAACAGACGACAGGCATCGTCAGGGTCCGGGATTGAACCCACGACCACCTGCGACGCTCCTAGACGGCGCGGTTCAGCGTCGCTGTCAACGCCAACTCGATCAATGCAGGGGGCTGTTCTCTGTGCGCTTTGTCGTCCTGTGTGTGTGTGTATTTCGTGGCTAATTTCTCCCGACAGCGCAATTAGCGGATGCGTTGTAAAGTTGTAATGCTTGCTCGGGGTTTTACGGTGGTAACGTGCAAACGATTTAAATTCCGCCCTGTGGAGAGATTACGTGGCGCGTAATCATTGCTTAAGCTTGAACATCAGAGGTGCTCCTTTCATGTTCATTAAACAAAGCGGTAAAAACAAAAAAGTTTTATCGAAACGCCGTTTAAATATTTGCAGTTTTCTTTCCTCATTGCATACAAAATAATTGTCATTGTTACCAGAACTCACCGATGTGCTCACGTGAGGTGGTGGGATTGTGCAAGATGATTTTTCTTAGATTAACTTGTCGCTGACGCTAAATACGCATCGTTAGATACTAAAATCACGGAATAGTGCATTATATTCCAAGATTGCTTCATGTAAATAATATACTGCAGTTGAGTGTCTATTTTTACTAATGTTTGCCATAATTGACTATATTTTGACCTCTCAACTGTCAATTTGTAGTGTATACGTGTGGGCAGCTGTAGTGTAGTGATGAGCACACCCACACTACAAACCCAGTAAACCCGAGTTCCATTCCTAACCATGGCAAACATCAGTGCCGGATATCCGAACGGGTTCCATGCCTCCCCTAGGCCTGACCCTGCCTAATGAGTACCTGGTGCAATGTTTAAACATTATCACTGGGGAGACAAAGGCAGCCAGGCCTGGTGTTGGCCGCTCACCCCTGTCGTGCATCGTGCCAAACTTTATAGTTGCCCGCTAAGAGAACTTGCCCCAACCGTCTGTTTAAGTATATACAGATGATATTTATCTTTGTGTGTGTAAAAGTGCACATAGCCTGGCACGATCTCCGTAGTGACGTAACCGCGAGTTGGTGGTGAATGGCGGTTGTTGTGTCTGCCCTGAATGGAACAATTATTAATGTTGGCTAGCGAAGTGGTCGCGTTACGTAAGAACACTGATCCATTGGATAACACTGATACATTTATTTGCGTGAAATATATAACTGTAACTGTAAGGTTTTTATCGCTATCGAGATTGTCGGACATTTTTTTTGCTCATATAATATATATTTACTTTCTCAATTGCAATGGTTGTAACAAGCATCTATGTTATGTTCTGCTGAGATATATTTTATATAGCATATTCGTTATTATTCCATCCCAAGACTCCCTAGAGATGGAGACATCGACCTTAATTGGCTCTCACCGGCTTGTCAATGTAATTCATCTCCAGATTATATACATGTGTGTGTCTGTATGTGTGCGTCCACATGTATGCATGTATGTGGAGAGGGGTGGCGCAGTGATTAGCGCGATGCGCTACCAACCTGGCGACCCGAGTTCGATTCCCGCTCACGGCCAACAACAGTGACGATTATCTGAACTGGCCCTGGGCCTCCCCTAGGTCGACTCAAGTATTTAGTGCGTTGTGTAAACATCGCTACTGGGGACACAAAGGCGGTCGCGCGTGGTGCTGGCCACCCACCCCCTCGTGAACCATGCTGGCCTTCATAGGTGCACGCTAACAGCACTTGCTCCAACAGTCTGTTAAGGCTATACGGGGGATCATTGTCGTGTGTGTGTGTGCATCTGCAAGTCATCTCAGTCAACTCTTGGCACCTGGGTCTGTCCCGTGACCTACCAGCAAGCTCTCGACACTTCACGTGACCCCGAAGTGACCCCGGCACAAGCGCCGTGGTGTTGTCACCGCCACCTAGTGGCGAATGGTGGCTGTTGTCGTTGTGTGTGTGTATGTCCGTCAAGGCATCAAGTCGTTCAACATGCTCTCACCCAATGGGGACAACTCGGACCTGCTGGCGGAGATCAAGGCGGGCAGGAGCCTGAAGCCCACGCACCCCAGCAAGAGCTGCACCACGGTGTTCATCGGCTCCGCTCACCTGGTGAGGCTCCTCGCCCCCGCTGCTCACCATAACGTTCCTGTTCAGCGTGGTGTACGTGGTGTCCCCCTGTGTTGTGTGCAGAACAGGGGTTCGTCGCAGCGCGCTACGAACCCGCCGACCCTAGTTCAATTCCCACTCACGACCGGCAAGAGTTACGAACGTTTGAACCGGTCCTGCGCCTCCTCCTAGGTCGATTCGCCCTTAAATTAATATCTGGTGCGGTGTATACATCGGCACTGGCGGGAGACAAAGGCGGCCGGGCGTGCGTGGTGTTGGCCCACTCGCCCTCTCGTGCGCCGTGCCGACCTTAATAGGTGCTCGCTAACAGCACTTGTCCCCAACGGTCGAAGTCTATATGGGGGATCTTTGTGTTTTGAGTCGACTCCGTGTGGGACTGCGCCTCTCCCCTCCCCAACGGCGCCGCAGCAGAACCAGCGACCGACCAGCCCGGACTGCCAGCCGCAGAGCGGCGCCGGCACGGACGGCACCAACGGCGACGGCGGCCTCCCTCACGGCGCCGCGGGCGGCGGCGGCGGCGGCGGCGCAAGCGGCGCGGGCGACTCGCTGTCGCGCCTCGACTCGCTGTCGCGCCTCGACTCGCTCGACGTGGACTCGCTGGTGCCGCTGCAGGACGAGCAGGGCCGGCCGATCCCCGAGTGGAAGCGGCAGGTGATGGTGCGCAAGCTGCAGACGCGCCTGCAGCAAGAGGAGGAGCGGCGGCGCCAGGTGCGGAAGCCGAGCGCCTTCTTTTTCCGCCGGCCCGCCCGGCGTGTGCGGCGTGCCCGCGTCTTAGCGCGGAGCGCCGTCGCGTGGGGCGGTTCGGGCTTCGCGGCGTTCGCCGCGGGCCGCGCCGCACGGAGGGCGCCGTGGTCGGCGCGCGTGCAGGGGAGCGCGCGGTCGGCGTGCACCGCGCCACGAAGCCGGCGAGTTCGATTCCCGCTCGCGACCACGGGCCCACCGAGTGCGGTGTTGACCGCGCCCGCCTCCTCGTGCGCCGCGCCGGCCTTAATAGGCGCTCGCTAGCAGCGCTTGCCCCAACTGCCCGTCAGAGGCAATATGCGGAGGGGTCTTTGTCTTTGGTCTGCATTGTGCCGCATGCTGTCCGCTGTTAGCCCGGTGTTGAGCGTGGTGCATTGTGCGTGATGCATGTCCTGCGTGTTGTGTGCCGTGCCGTGTTTGTCGGCCCCGTGGCGCTCGCTTCATTGCCGGTGGAGTGAGTTCCATGCAGCGGGGAGTGTAACCCGGAAAGCCTCAGCTGTTTCTTCGGTAACTCTGGGTTGTTGCGATTTAGCAAAGTGATGACCACGGCACACAGTCGAGACAGTAGTGTTTCACGCCTATTAAAGCATGAGCTGCTGTACACATTACAACTTGGTGCTCTGGTTCCCTCTCACTTGCAAACGTGACTCGGATAGGAACTGGCCCCAACAATCCAAGGCAAAAAACCCTCCTGACAAAGAATCTCGACAGTCACTCGGAGACTTTCCTTGGTGCAAGAACAGCGCCGATATAGTGACCTGCACTCTGCTTTCAAATATCGAAACATTTAACATTTACCTGGAAGATAATTTGAGGTGGAACATCCCGTTTGCAAGGGTGTCCAGCATCCGTACGATTGAGACACACAATCTTAACTGCAAGGAATATATATAATATCTGGCGCCGGTTACACAAAACGTTTCTGATTAAACTTTCCCCTTATTTTGTCGTTTCTAAAGCGGTACAAATTAAGGGCGAAACAAAATACTTGAGGTTCCCCCCCCCCCGCACCGCTAATCGATGACACCAGCTGCACTGAGTGCTTGACGGCGGTTCGAGTGGCCACACTCCAGCGTTGTTGTCGCCGTCGCCTGAGCACGAGTGCGCGCGCCTCTGCCGTTGCCGTGGATCTTCTGCACTCGCGCGGCGTGCCTGGGCGCGCATCCTCCGTAGCGCGCGTCCACCGGCGGCGCCAAATGTTTACGCTCGCGTCTCCGCGGCCCGTGATGATGGCGATAAGGTCACGTTACAGCTCGGCCGACGGAGCAGCGGGCTCTCGGCTGTTGGATGACGAGTCACAATTCCGGCGAGGGTTAGTTCGGCCCCATCGTCGTCTGTCCTGGGTTGGTAAAATGAGCACAGAATTGGCGAGGCAGCACACATCGCGCGCACGCTTATGCGGCCAAGCAGTGAGTGCGGCAAATCCTGATCCCATCTCTGGTCGCGCTGTAAGCCCCGGGATTAAACCGCGTAATCCGGCGTCCGTGGACCCTGGTTCCCGTTCGGCGCCGCTGGGCCCCGTGTTACGTGAGCGGAAACAGCGTCCCCAATAAACCTGGGCGTGCGGCCCCCTAGACAAAGATCGCTCGCAGACGCGAAACGATTGTTCTGTTGAGCACGTCGTGGGTGAGATTTAGATTTTAAAATGAGCGGTTTTGTTTAACAACAAGGTCAATTACGTGGCGTAAAAATGTTGTGTCGCTCGATGCCACGTGCCACCATCTTTGGCGGGGAGAGTGCAGACGTGACATCATGGAGGTGATGCCACTTCATGTGACATAGATTCACGTCAATCCAAATCTTTTTGACAGAGTTTTTCTGAAGTGTCTTATCCAGGCCATATTGGTTACACGTCTCTATAAAACATCCCTGTAACTCATGGTCCAGGGGCCATTGAACGCTTTCTGAATAATGTTGGCACCGAGCCATTACTGCTTGCAATCCTGGGTTCGAATCTGGGTTTAATCCCAGCAATGATTCAACCAAATTCTCAAACGTGGCAACTTGATGGTCTCAGCCCAGTTACCAATTAGCGTGCGTCATCTGGTCGAGCACCAATTGGGTCGAGGCTCAAAAGAAAGCCGTCCCTTGGTGTGGACCAATTAGTTTCAAGGACAATGCATATATTATCATAGTATGTTTTTGTTTGCATTTTGACTGCAGGTATTGTGGTTAATGCAGACATGAATCCTTGTAAGAAGGTTTCAGTTTTGTTGCCAGAAAAAAAAGGGAAAAAACCCTATTATTACATTTTGGTACTGGCAAAGGAGGTCTAATGATGTAAAAGCAAAACCCCATCAAACAAATTATTTTAGATTTTTCACTTTGCCAAACTTGGGAAATGCAAAAAAAATGGCAGTTTGACTGCATGCGGAAAAGCGCGTCCTTTCGTGTGCGGATACAAAAAAAAGGTCACGGGAAAGAATCTCGGAACCGGTTCTGTGAAGTCTCCTTCCACGGGGCCTTTTGACGTCGCCAGCGGCGTGATGCACTGCTTCCTCTCGCGCCGTGGTGCCGCTATCACAGTTTGACAAAAACACTTTCCGGAAAAAAAGACGCTAAATAGAAGTTAAAGGAACAAAGAAAGAGCGCTCAACTGAATCTTTACGAACAAACGTGCCAACATCGAGAGCGCTCGGACGGTGTGGTGCGTCCGTCTGTTGTCCACTAGGCGGCGCTGTAGCCCCTAGAGACGTGAAAGTGGCAGCCCTTGCCCGTCGTGTCGACTGCTGTTGCCTCGTGTGAGTGGAGCTGCCTCCTGTTCGTCGCTCTGGCACCAGCCAGAGAGGCTGCGTCGCCTCTGTGCGATTTATGAACCTAAATTAGTTCATAAGCCTAAATAGTTTACTAATTGACCCGTGCTCGCACGCTACTTTAACCTAATTGGGATTTAAGAATGACAGCCGTTACTCCATTTAAAGATTACAAAACTATTCATCGTAAATAGCCAACATATCCAAAATTGACCCAGTTAGACTTTTTGGTCGTGATCTCAGGTTTCTGTTTCGGTGTAAGTTTTTTTATTATACATTTTTCCAGTGTGACGAATTTTGATTCATAATTGCGAACCGCATGTCTTCTCGCGTTCTTGTGTGCCGTGAAAGCGCCGGTACACGCACAGAATTGAGTCGTGCGCGAGCACTCGCTCGGTGCGCGGGACCATGATTTCCGCGCCTTTCTCGCATGCGCGTGCCGTGTACGCATGCCTCGATGGCGAGTCGTTAAAAGAAGAAGGCACGGTACGATGACGGGAGTAACCCAAAAGCCTGAACATTCCGTCTGTTGTCTCTTCCCCGCTGCAAGTTTGAGCAGTACGGCTTTTTCCAGCCAGAGAGCTGGACCTATTCCTCCAACCGCAACGCCATGCTGGGCCCTTTTGGCGAGCTGCTCACCGAGAAGGACATTGCGAGTCTGGAGAAGCAGATCGAGAGCCTGCAGCTCCTGAAGAACGTGCAGGAGGTGGAGACCAAGCTGGTGGTGCTGGAGCAGGAAATCCACCAGATGATACTGCCGCCCACCGTGGAGGTCGTGGACAGCCGCTTCGCGACGGGCGCCGACTCCGTGCGGGCGCTGCCCGGCTGGTGCAGCCGCGTGTCGGGCCTCCTACGAAGCATGGCTTTCCTCGTCAGCAGCTTGGGCCACAAGGACATCGCGGGCCCCAAAGTCGGGCCCGCCGCTGCCCCGCCTATCGCGGAAGCACGGAGAGGTCTGGAGAACGGAGGGGCGCGCAGCAACGGCGCCGGCGGCGGCTTCGGCGGCGCTAAACGGCAGCGCGGCCCGGATGACTGCGGCGGCGCCGGCGATGGCGGCGTCGGGCAAGAGAGCCCGCGCAATGAGCCGGGCCCCGTCGCTCTGGAGGAAGCACGCGCGAGCGAGGAATGGAAGGCGAGCACGTCGGTGATCCGGACGCAGTCGTTCGGCTCCACCAGGGAGGAGGTAGAGTGGGAGATTCAGCAGTTCGGCGTCTCGGTCAAGATGCTCAAGTCCAACTTCGAGCCCGGCGCCGTAAAGTCGGCGCCGGTCGCGTGCAACGGCCAGGGTGGCGGCGGCTGCGGAGGAGGAGAAGAAGGCAGACGTGTGGAAGCGACACCCGGCGAGGCGGCTCAGCCATCCGGGGCAGAGGATCCGCCGCGGGCGCCGCTGCTGCCGGTGAAGAGCGTGGACGATGACGCGTGCCGCCTGGAGCTGGGCGGGGAGCCGCCCGCGGTGGCGCTGCCGTCACCGTCGTCGGAGGGCGGCGTCACGACCGCCATGACGGAGGCGACGGTGCGCGAGTCGGTGGAGACGCGAAAGGTGCGCACGGTGCTGCTCTTCCTGGGCCACTGGAAGAAGGCCGTGTACTCGATGTCGTTCGGAGTGAAGGGCGACAGGCAGGGGGGGGGCTCCGGCACGGCCTCCTCCTCCGGCACCGTCGTCGCAGCAGGCGACGCGTCGGCTTACGCGGAGCTGGACGCTGCGGTCGCGGCGTCGGCGATGACGGGCGAGGCGGAGCGCGAGCGCACAGAGGACGAGCGCCTCCTCTACTTCATGAAGCAGCGGCAGGTGGTGAACAAGCTCATCGGGCACTGGCGCCTCATCATCGCCCGCGTGCCCTCGCGCCAGATCCGCCACCTGAGCCGCGCGCCGGCCGCCTACTCCCCCGAGCAGTTCCTGCCGCACGTCAACGGGCGGCCGCCCGCCTACGACTCGCTGACCCTCGACCTCTTCATGCTCGGCTACTTCCAGCTGCTGGAGATGCCGATGCCGCGCGCGGAGCGCCGCGCCCGCCACCTCCTCTGCTTCGAGATGTTCGACCGCCTCGCGAGCCACCCGTGGGAGACAATCCGGGACTTCCACCGCGCCGTCGTCGCGGAGGTGTCGGGCGGGTGCCGCGACTGGCGCGACGGCTTCGAGGACGTGAAGCGGCGCTTTTTCGGCGACGTGGCTCGCCGGGCGTCGGCCGCGTCGAGCGGCGCCGACGCCGGGTCCGGTCGCGACCGCGGCGACCCGGCGGCCGCCGGCGCCAACGCCGTGAACTGGGACTCGCGGCGGGCGTCCGAAGTGAGCCTGCCGAGCTACTGCGGCAACACGCCAACCGAGGAGCAGGGCGGCCGCTGCGGCGCGCGCCGGCGCTCCGACTCGGTGCAGGTGATCTCGGAGCTGGGAGAGTTCAGCAACGATGAGATCTGCCGCTACATCGACCGCAGCTTCTCCTTCTGGAAGGAGAAGGAGGCCGAGCTGTTCGACCTGTAGCGCGCGCACGCCCCCCCGTGTCGCGTCGCGTGCCGTGTCCCTTTCGTGCCCCGCGAGTCGTGACGCGCACACGCGTTTGTGTCACGCCGCAGCATGTAAACCGCTGTTGCGTATTTATTTTGGTGACTTGGCGATGTTGATGCCGATTTGTGTTGGGTTTTTTTTGCTACTACCTAGGAAAGCCTCGCTGGACCAAAGGTATTTTTTTCTCAGGAGGGTCCTGCACTAGGATGTTTGGCCAGCTCGATTAATGAGTATTTTGTATTGGGGGGGGGGGGGGTCAGAAATACATTACAGCAGCATCTTGTTGCGTTGTTGTACTGCCCTCTGTTGCCCAGACCGTAGCCCCACAGCAGCCACCCAAACATGGTGCAGATCAAGACTTGGCTCCCCAGAGGCTAAGAGATCAGGCACATTCGGGGTGATGTAATAATTTTTTTGCGTTCTTCATTTACCATCTTATTTGCTTCGTGGGGGGTTTATTTGTTTAACAATAATGAGACTAAAGCTCGGCGAGTCGGGTGAAGAGTCTATTCCCATCATTGGCTAAGTTATTTTTGTATGTCAGCATGTTTTATTTCCTCTTGGGTAGGTGGGCAAAGGACACAAGGGGTGTCTGACACCCTGGGCCAGCACAAGCACCTCTAGTTTTAGTTTATTATTTAATAATTTCAAATTAAAACTAGAATCAAATGAATAGAAGAAGTCTGAGAGGATATCCACCGAAGAGATGGAGGGATTAAATCGCCTCTGCTTCAGGAGCTTGCTGGATTATTATTTATCAGAGCGGAGGGTTGCGAAAAATGCTGGCAACTTGGGGGAAGTCTTCATCTGGTCGTGGAGTGACCGTGACTCATGGTTTCTACAACACGAATACATAAATAAATGCTAACATGTGAAATTGATCTCAAGAAACAGCGGTCACGGTTGAAGCAATGTCGAGCGTCACACACGAGGCCTTTCTTAGGCCTCGCCAACCCAGGATTCGCCTTCTGTTAACATCGTTTATTCCTTTATGATATTGCCATTACCTTGATGCTGTTTAGTAAGAGGAATTTAAAATGCATTTAAAATGCCTCTTACTATTTCAAATGCCTCTCTGAAAATGCCTCTGCCCTATGAGTCTTTTATTGCTGAGGCCTATTGCAGGCTTCGTTGAGATGCTACGTGGAGGATTTTTGACACTGAAAAGTGGCGTCGTATGAAAGGGTTTCTTTGGTCATTAAAAATACATACATTTTAGAAATATTTCTCCCACAATTGCACAAATGACACTATGTAACACAATTTTTGCTCCTGGGTAGTGTTATTTCATAATTTTTCATGCCTAGAAAGTTTAGAAAATCGCTATTATTCCTCACAAACTTTGCTTTTGTGACCAGGACAGTGATATTTTGAAATTGACCTATTTTCATTGAGAAAACAGGTGAATTTGTATCTTTTCATTCACATAAAGTCAGAAAAATATATATGAATCAAAATTAACATATATTTATACTACAGTAATACAAAAATAACTACAATAGATTTAGAAGCGAGTAGTTTTTCGAGATTTACGATTATACTGTAAATCACTTTGACGAATCAGCCCCCAAATGTAGTCTCCCATCATGTTCTCGTTATACTGTCCTTGGTAGCGGCGTTCAAAGTCCAGTATATCCTGGTGGAAGCGCTCGCCTTGCTCCTCCGAGTACGCTCCCATGTTCTCGAATTGATCAAGATGAGCATCAAGGACATGGACTTTGAGGGACATCCTACAGCCCATTGTGCCGAAGTTCTTCACCAGAGTCTCAACCAGCTCCACGTAGTTTTCGACCTTGTGATTGCCCAGGAAGCCACGAACCACTGTGACAAAGCTGTTCCAAGCCGCTTTCTCCTTACTAGTGGGCTTCTTGGGGAATTCATTGCACTCCAGGATCCTCTTTATCTGTGGTCCGACAAAGACACCGGCTTTGACCTTTGCCCTCAGCTTAGGGAAGAAGTCTTGAAGGTACTTGAAGACTGCCGACTCCTTATCTACAGTTCTGACAAATTGTTTCATAAGGTCCAATTTGATGTGCTGTGGTGGCATCAGCACCTTCCGGGGGTCCACTTGACTTCCGGGGGTCCACATGACGTTCCTCCCCATAGAGAACTCAGTCCACTGTGGCCAGTCCCGCCTGTGGTAGTGTGCCTTGGTGTCTAAACCTTTTATAGTCATTTTCTATTACTTTAGTATAAATACATGTTCATTTTGATTCATATGTTTTTTTCTGACTTAATGTGAACGAAAAGACACAAATTCACCCGTTTTCTAATTTAATATAGGTAAATTTCAAAATATCAATGTCCTGGTCACAAAAGCAAAGTTTGTGGGGAATAATAGCCATTTTCTGTACTTTTGAGGCATAAGCAATTAGGAAATAACACGTACTACCCAGGAACAAGAAAAAATGTAGTTACACAGTGTGATCATCCGGTCACAACTGTGGGTTTGTTACATTGCCTGGTAAAGAATAATATGCTGATAACCATACTCTTGGGTCTTTCGGTAGTCACGTAGATAGAAAAATAATAAAGTAATACAAAAAATCACGACGTTTCGATCGTAACACAAGCAGGCGGACTGCTAGAGCAGGAAGAAATATATCCTGTATTTGTCTTATTTGGTTCTTTCGGTAAGGTCACGTAGAATGAGAATATATCCTGTATTTGCTTGTGTTGCGATCGAAACGTCGTGATTTTTTATTATTTTTTTTTATCTCCGTGACTTTACCGAAAGACCCAATCAGTATGAATTCCTGCAGTCACGAAGGCTTCAAGTCAAGATTCTGCTAAACAATGAGTTTATTTTATGATTGACGGTGGTATAAATATTCTGTTTGTGGTGGGGTTTTTATTCGTTATTTATTGATTTGTAAAATGTCCCTATTAAACATCGCTCACAAGCATTCATTAATACCAGCACCAGGATACCCTGCACAAGTCCGTACTGTGCATATAATGGGGCAATTTAATATGGAACACGACACTTAAAAAAAAGTTATACCCAAAGTTAATTTGTATAGATACGACTAAAATCACGGCATAGGTTTACAGAAATTCAAGCTTAAGGTCCTGCAGGATTTTCTTTTATTCCACAATAATTTTACATTTCAATCATGTCCTGCCTATGGCATCCGAAGGAACTGCACAGGACATGGCCGCACATACATTCAGCAGGAACTACATTTGGCAGCAACTTTGGCACCGTCTCGCTACTGCAGCCGCGATGTTTGGATGAAGAATGGCCTGCAATCCCCACTCATCTCTCCTCACCTTGTCCATACACGTACTGGTTTGCACTCTGGGATTCGCTCAATACGTATTGATTCGCGGCTTGAAGATGGTAGCAGTTAGACAATTGGTCCCAATCAGTTAGATAGTCGGTACCAGTCAATCTGATCTATCTGTTGAAATGTTTTTTCTTGCTCTTCAGCTCAGGTCACGCGTTTTCTCATTCGTGAAACGTGGATTCCGGAAGAAAAATGTTTTTGTGTATTTTCTGGGTGCGTTGCTCACGTACGTGAAACTTTTGGTTCGGAGTCTGGATGCAGAGTGATGGAAAAAATTATTAGTTTGGTGGATGACGATGCTTTGAGGCACGAAACATGGTCGTTGTAACACTGATGGAAACACAAGCATCGTGTTTATTGACACAACAATACAATTTAACCATGATTTGCGAGATATGTTTAATACCCCAGTCTGTAGTATAAGCCTCTTATAACTAAAGTGTAATAGTAATAATTACAGTGCACACTTTAAAATGTCAAACGTAATTCTTTTCACCTTTTTCATAGTATCGGCCACTTTTTTTTAAAGAGTAAAAAAACGTAACATGTTTCATTATTTGTCAATGGGAACATGCCCATTGACAAATAATACATCTTCCCTTTCAAATCCCGGGCCTTTATGATAGCGGGCGAGAGGCTCACTGGCGCGGGACGTCGTTTACCAAGGGGAGAGCCGAGTCCCTTGGCCTCCAAAGCGGCGGGTAGTCACCATGGACGGTGGCTGCCCAGAGACCGGCGCTGTCAGGGCTGTGTCTGTACACACCCCCCCCCTACCCCGCCATGTAAACCGCCCCTCGATGTGACAATAAATTTCATTGTGAAAATCGGGGGTATCCGTCACTTATTTATACATTTTATTATCACCATCAATAATTCACATCCCTATGACTTATTGATTCATTTGCCTGGGCAAACGGGGCTGCTCTGGCCACGCAGGGCTCTAATTAATATTTCATCAGCCCCCCCCCCGGGTGTCGGGTGACTTCTGTCCCAGGGTGGTTCGCCCCCTTTCGCTTCGCCGAGCTGCCCGCGCGATCAAATGGCTCCCTCGCTCTAGGAGTCGGTGGCGCTTCTTCACCGGCGCGTCGCGCGACATCACCCGGCGACGGACCGAGAGAGAACGCAAAACCCTGAGCTTGCCTTTTTTTACATTTTGATTTCTCGCGGCCACGCGAGTCTCGGCCGTCGCCGGCACGCCGGCCTGCCCTCGACGAACGATTGAAGAGCCGTGGCGTGCGAGCGGAGGGGAACGGGCGCCGCGTCGGATGCCCTCTCGGCCGCCAGCTAACGACGCCCGTACCCTTTACCGCTCTTGCTTGTGCCGCAGGTGGTGGAGGAGTCGGAGCGGCTGGCGAATCTGCCGGCGTGGAGGCGCGAGATCGTGCGGAAAAAGCTGGAGGATGAGAAGTACGTGTGTGTGTACACGTGAGAGTACGTGTGTGTGTATACACGTGAGAGTACGTGTTGTTTGTGTGTGTGTACACGTGAGAGTACGTGTGTGTGTACACGTGAGAGTACGTGTGTGTGTACACGTGAGAGTACGTGTGTGTGTGTACACGTGAGAGTACGTGTGTGTGTGAACACGTGAGAGTACGTGTGTGTGTGTACACGTGAGAGTATGTGTGTGTGTATGTACACGTGAGAGTACGTGTGTGTGAACACGTGAGAGTACGTGTGTGTGAACACGTGAGAGTACGTGTGTGTGAACACGTGAGAGTACGTGTGTGTGAACACGTGAGAGTACGTGTGTGTGAACACGTGAGCGTGCATGTGGGGAGCGGTGGCTGGTGCATTGCACTAACTAACAATCAGAGTTTAATTCACGCTCGCTGCTAACATCAGTGACGCGTCTCTGACCCAGTTGTAGGCCTCCCGTAAGGTGCCTCAGGCTTAAATTGGCACTTGGTGCGATGCGTAAACGCCAGCACTGGGGAGACAAAGGTGGCCGGGCGTGGTGCTAACCCGCCCCCCACCGCTGCCTCGTGTTGCTCGCTAACAGCACCTGGCGAGCGGTCCGCTCGAGTCCGCTCCACGGTTTACTCGCCGCTGGTGGCTAGGGCAGGTGATTGAGCAGGTGAAAGTGTGCACCGTCATGTCGCACCCCCACCCCCACTCTCATCACCACCATGGGGTGGATCCTGTAACAAAACTCGGACCCGGCGCAGGGCGGTGCATTGGCGCGTGTGCGCGTTACGCGCGTGCGTGATGCATCGTGCGCGTGATACATCGTGCGCGTGATGCATCGTGCGCGTGATGTATCGTGCGTGTGATGCATCGTGCGTGATGCATCGTGCGTGATGTATCGTGCGTGATGCATCGTGTGTGTGATGCATCGTGCGTGATGTATCGTGCGCGTGATGTATCGTGTGTGTGATGCATCGTGTGTGTGATGCATCGTGTGTGTGATGCATCGTGCGTTACGCGCGTGCGTGATGCATCGTGCGCGTGATGTATCGTGCGTGATGCATCGTGCGTGATGCATCGTGCGTGAGATGCATCGTGCGCGTGATGCATCGTGCGCGTGATGCATCGTGCGCGTGATGCATCGTGCGCGTGATGCATCGTGCGCGTGATGCATCGTGCGCGTGATGCATCGTGCGCGTGATGCATCGTGCGCGTGATGCATCGTGCGCGTGATGCATCGTGCGCGTGATGTATCGTGCGCGTGATGTATTGTGCGCGTGATGTATCGTGCGTGATGTATCGTGTGTGTGATATGCGCATTTTGTCGCTGTGGGTGGCTCGCACCGTAGGTGATAGCTCCCAGTGGCCCTGGGCCTTCCAAAGAAGAGTGGATTGATGTGTCTTTCTTTTCGTGAATCGTGGGGACGTTTACCCGAGTTAAAATGTTAACGTGAATGCTGTTTAGTCGCAGAATCGGCCCGTGTATTTAAAAGGAGAGTGTAATGTTATCCTGAATAAATCCGCTGCGCAGACACGATGGTACTGACCGCAGCACAGAGGGGTCGTCGTTCTCGCTTCGTGTTCTTGTACGCGATCGTTTTTACTGTCGACTTGATGTTGTGTTTTTACCAAGTGAGGAGACATTGAGAGCAGGATGCGTCAGTCGCATTTGGAAGAGTGACCTGGCTTGCCAGAAATCAACGTCTGTTCGTTGTACAACACGTTCATTGTTACTCATTCGTGTTCCTTTATCTGTTGTCACTTTCAGGGAGAAAAAAAGGTAAGCACCCTATGTCCTCCCCCCCCCCCCACT